GCTCTATTGACTGAGATAGTATGAAGTTATGATTCAAACGCCAATGTCACCTATGTTTATCTATAAACCTATATTGACAGTTTGTATGAAAAACAATCAAGATGCTAGAATAAAATCGCATAGAGTTACGAACAATAAATGTTGACTACACATTCTTGTACGGCAAAATCAATGAACATTAACAAGCTAAGAAATAACATAGAGCTCAAACAAGACTTCTAGCATCTCGATTGTTTTTCATAAAAACTGTCAATATTGGTTTACAAGTAAACAGAAGTGAAACTAGTATTTGAATCATAACTTCATACTATTCCAGTCAATAGAGCTCGAGTTGGTGCTGATGATCACAGTTTTTTAAGCTCTATCTCTGGTAAAAATTTGATAGAATATTATTGAAGCCATAGGGAAGTATCACACATACCGGGACTTATGGCCAGTAGTGTATATCTTTGCATGATAGCAAAAAGTTTTTCGATCTCAGAGAAATACGTGAGAGGAAGGGGAAAAGCTTCGGAACACTGACATGTATGCAATTAGCGGCAAAAGCTTCAGCCGTCGTAGGATACAAATGAATGACTGCGAAAACTTACTCATCACAAAGCAATATGTAGAAGAGGCAGCGAAAGTTTCGGAGAATCAATCGATTTATCAGGTGCAGTGAGAACCTTCATACCATCCATACAGGTCTCTAGGAAAAAGCGAAAACTTTCAAATCGCAGAGCAATTCACGAAATGCATATGAAAAAAGTGTTAGAAACAAACCATGTGTTCATATAAAGAGAAAAAACTCAGGATATCGATCAATATTTTTCAATGATGGCGACAGCTTCCTGACCACACTGGAATGTTTCAGCGAGACCACAAAAATTTCCGAGAATCGATGAAGATGTCAGAGGCCCAAGTAAATCTGCTGAGTACTAATCCGTCTTTCTATATGACAGTGAAAGCTTTTCAATGTCATAGAATTCGTGGGAGGAAGAGCAACATGCTTTAGAAGCTTGCAATTATATGAATGTACTAGCAAAAAGCTTCAGTCTAGGAGAACTGTCTATCAGTAGTGGCAAAAGGTTTCCGTTTACCAATCATGACTGAAAATGATAGCGAAAATTTGGGAAATCGATTAATATGTTGAGTACACTACGAAAGTTCCACCCTACAGCTGAACATTGCAGGTGATGATGATAACTTTTGGTTTACAGAGAAACTGTCGGAAGGCGGAGGAAAATTTTCAGAGAGCCAATCTATGTCTTCTCGTGGTGACAAAAACTTCAGTGTATGAGCAAGTCCATAATAAAGAGAAGAAAAACTTTGGAGGTCAACCATGTTTGAGCATAAAGGTGAATAGCCTCAAACCTCGAGGAATACTTGTGGGGCAGGCTGAAAGCTTTTTGATCACAGAAAAATGTGTGAGACGAAGTGGCAAAAGTCGCGCAGAACAGGTACATGTACCAAGTTAGCAGTTGATATCTTCAGGTTATCAAAGAATATGTTTTGTTAGCAATAAAAACTTTCAGGCCACAGAGAACCGTTCGTGAGTTTGAGTCAAAAGCTTCAGTCTACTAGTGAACGTTTTCGGCTGATGACAAAATCTTTCGAATTACAAAGAACTATGTTAGAAGAACAGGAAAAAGATTTGTTGGGAATTGATCAGTGTATTAAATTAGCTGCGAATTTCTTTGGGATATCGACCAATGCTCTTGGGTAACAGGAAAACTTTCCAATTACAAAGGAATGTGTTAGAAAGACAGAATAAAAGTTTCTGAGAGTCGATCCATGCGTCGCGACAGCGTTCAAGTGCTTCAGACGAGTAATTATTATTGTTAAGTAATCATATGGACTTTCAGATCACTGAGGAATCTGTGAGATGAAGGTCGAAAGTCTTTTGGTCGTCCATTAATGCGCTGGCTTTACAAGAAAAGCATCAGCCTTACTATCCATTTCACTCATTCAAGCGAAACAGCTTCTGACCACTCATGAATGTGCCAGAGTTATCACCGAAAGTACAAGGTCAAACAGAGATTCCGTAAGCTTAAACACGAAAAGTTGTATGCCGTTGGTCCATGTGAAGTCGATGGAAAGATGTTGCGTCCATCGATCCATGCATCAGTTGAACGGGAAGAACTTACAGACGGCTTATAAGCATGTCAATGTAACTAAAAAATCTTGATATCGTCTACATACCTGTTAGGGTATTCGGAAATATTTCTGAAAGGGAAGTGATTTCGCACTATTGAAGGAACAAAACTTCTGGTACGTAGACATGGTTAAGTATTTGAAACTAATTACATTAATCCAACAAGAGATGCTATTGTATCAGCACACTGTTGTTTTGGATGATTTATCATTGTCTCTACCATTGTTATCATCTCTTGATGTTCAATTAAGTATATGTATCTATAGTCTTTCCTTTATGACACATAAATTATATATACTCTCTTTACGGTTGTGTTCTTTTTTATACTCGCATCTCTCTCTTGTTATCGAAGAATATAATATATGAGAAGGTAAGTTCCTCTTTTGCAATAACTCTCTAGCATCATTGAATTTTATCATATTATATACATAAGGAAAGTTTGCTAGATAGAACTTGAAGGTTCACGAGCTTTTCCTTCTCAATAGTCAGTACTGGGTAAAGCAAAGTTTTTCGTCAGCGAACTATGTATTTAGGATAAGCTGTGTTATCACAGCTGCAGTCATAGACAGAGTAATGCTTATAAAAATCAAGTGATCTGTCCATGCAGATAAAATCTAGAAAAAACGAGTAAATATAGTATTAAAAAATTGAAGCCTTTCGAGAATGGAAAAGAAACCCCCTCTCTCTCTCTCTGCGATGGGACTAATCCTTTGAAATGAAGTTTTAATCGTAAAACATTAAAACTCATAATGCCTAGGCAAAAATTGCACCTTCATGCTGTTAGTTTCGTTAGAAATTTCGACGTATTTTTATGATATTAAATATATCCACGCGTTCGTAGCGCGCTAAAATGTGCCCTATTTCACTATTGAGATTTTGTTTAAGTTTCTGAGCATTGCTGTACACGTTCGAGTTTTTCGCTTAAACGGTTTGTTCGAAGAAAAATCGACAATTATATACTCCAAAGATAACTTCTTAAATCTTTAAATATTATTTCTATCCTGTAACACCATCAAATTGATTAGACTGTATTCTCTACCAATCTATTTTCAACTGTATCATTATAATGTTCTCATATTCATTTAATTTTTCGAGTTTGAATTATGTACAAGCAATGCTTGTACTTGCAACTTGCTTGATCCTCGACTTTATGTTCAAATCTCTCTGTATAAAATAACTATTACGTTACCAGTCAATCCATACTAATATCAAATGTATATAGAAGGGTGGATGTGAGTTTGACTGTAAGTGTATGTGTGGATGTCGTAGTGGATGCGTCTGTCGGTGTCCTTATTGGTGGTCATGTTGATGAGGACGTTGATGTCTGTTGAGCGCAGTGTTTCCTGTTAACTATTCAGACAATTACACTTATACCTACCTATTCACGACTAAACCCAAGTCCAAACACTGCAACACACTCATACCAAACATCATACATCGCACTCCCATCCGAACCCCAACATCCCAAATACATTCAAACCTATCAACGGCTACACTCAAACATCACATCAACACACTCATATATAGCCACATCCCACACCCACATCCTAGTCGGTGTTTTCTTCTAAATGCATGGTACCGATGTGTCTATACATGTACAGTTACTATCTTTCAAAAAATGATTCGGTGAGGAAATTTTTGACAAAAAAGTGTTATACAGACTTTCCTCATTAAATCAAAACATAGAATATTTAATTAAAATGTGTTGGAGCTGATGGTTAACTTCTTCATGTCAATCGATACTGATCGCTAGTAGTGACTGATGCACTGGTTTTTTGATGAAGGAGGTCAAGAACAGCGTTCCACTTCTTATTATGATGCTGCATAAAATATGTGTGGCTAGTTCTTTTTGATAATGAGCTGCAGTTCCAGAGACGCATTCAACTTTGCATAGTTACGTTAAAATAGGGCGTTCAGTAATTCTATTTCATATGAAAAGAACTGGTCATAAGCATTTCATGTTGATAAGAAGATTTGATCATCAGCATGTACTTAGACTAATGAGAGTTGATGAATTTATTATAATTCAAAGTGCTTAACTAAAACTGATGCGTGTCCACATATGATTAATAACAACTAAACCATTTTTCTTTATAAAATCTCACGATAAAAGAAGGGGAGGTAAGAAAGCTATTTTGTCAGGGCAAATTGTTTCGGCAAAGAATTAAACAAGAAGATTTATATTAACAATAGCACTATTATTACTTCAATGTAAGAATTATATCCACTTCGTTTTTATTTTAAGCTCTATACTGTCATAGTAATCATCAAGCATTTACTTACGTTTTAGGACAAATATTATTTCATAAATCTTCAAAACGAGTTAATCAACTGCTTTAATATTTATGCGAAAAGTGGGAATTTAAACTTTAGAATTGTCGGCATGCTTTTAGAAGTAGTCGAAACTTCTTCTAAAACTGTGTACATGACTTTTTTTTCGGCTTGCGCTAATAACGTAACCACAAGAAGTTTTTTTCTTATTGTTGACTTCGCGACGATTTAATCTATTTTATAAATCATAATATACTATCCTATACTGACTAGTTTTTGCAAATCATAATGCGTTTTGAGTAGAGAAGAATTGCACAAAAGTAACTTGAAAACAAATCTTTATGAAACAGAGGATGAGTGCCTTTCTGCTGACAGTGTCCGTATTCTTCTTGTTAGTATCACGAACAGAGTATTACGAAAGGAAAAGAAATGATTCATTTTTTCTATTATTGTATAGAAAGAGAAAGTACTGATAACAATTTTTCTTTATTAATGTTCTATAGGAAAACAAATCTAAAATATTTTTAACAATTGTTTCGAACTCGTAACAATCGTACTTTCATCAACGTTCAACAGCAAATACAAATCGTATGTGATGAATCGCTTTGGTGATATCGAAGTTTCATTTAAACGGCTTCCACCTGTTTATGGTTATCGCAGTGCAGAACTTGTTTCAATTGAAAAAGCACTAGAACCTATTCAGTCTCAAATTGATGAACTACCTTATTACATAAAGATAGCTAAACGTAATTGTCATTTTCCGTCAGAACATGGACTATCACGTGATCAATCAGCTGCTGTTTATATCTATACAATGGAACGGGGTGATACTACTTTATATCGTGTATTAAATAAAGCACTACGATCTGAAAATCGACAAGCATTAAAGATATGGTTTCCATATTTAAAATTATTTGATACGGCATTGGATAAATTACCTACTGTTAAAGAGGTGGTATGGAGAGGTGTGTCTCTTGATATTGGCAAAAACTTCATCGAAAACCAAATTGTAACGTGGTGGAGTGTTAATTCATGTTCGTCATCGGTCAAAGTTATTAAAGATTTTCTTGATAACGACAAAAAGTCAACTCTTTTTCTTATTGAAGCTGTTAACGGGAAAAAAATTGCTGGCTATACAGAATATGAAACTGAAAAGGAAATTATTTTACGAATCGGCTCACAATTCCGTGTGGAGAGCGATGTTTTAAAGCAATCGAATGGCTCACATCTTGTACATCTGATTGAAATTGATGATAACGATGATCAACCATTAGCATCAGCTATGAATGATATGCATCTGGCAGCAGCAAAACTACCAATTAAAACTACTTCTGGTAAGTTATTTATACTTTTTCTTAAGAGAATAATGTTTTGTAAGATACATGTATATGAAACAATGAAAAAATGTTTGAATACTGATTAGTTTATATATGATAAAGGCAGAAATTAGATAATTGTATAAAAATATTTAATTGATAAAGAGAAAGTTATAATAACAAAATTTCGACAAATACAAAAGAATGGTTGATTTTTTTTGAATGAAAATTTTTTCACGAATTATTTTCATCAAGAAAATAGTATTTAGTAGAATTTAACCGTTTTAACAGCTCCAAGTGATTTCATCCAACCTGTGGATCCGACATCGAACTGTCTGAGAAAATCACGTTGTTTATCAAAATCTAGTCGAATTAGGTCTGGGTTTTCGTCAAAAGAAATCATTTCAAATCTAGTAATTCTATTATGTCGAACTTCTCGAAATCTTTCTCTTTAAAACAATTTGACGACACTTGAATGAGGGTTAAGAGAATTCTGTTGATTATTGCTCTCAGCCTTTCACCTGTATACTCATTCTCGTCCGTCCAATACTTAAGCTCTTTGGATTCCGCTGCTTTCTTAAGTTGTCTAAGTTCCATGAATCCTTTCACTTTAAAAAAATTTTCGTCTTGTGGCAAACTCAGACAATAGGATGTATCCAAAAATCTTGCAAAACTTGTAGAGTTTTATCAAATTGAAATTCAGTATCCGTAACTTTGCAATATGCTCAAAGTTCTTCAGCTAATAATATCATCGAAAACTCCAAAAGACTCAATTGTTGATAACGAGACACTCTTATTTGTAAACTCTCATGAGTCTTCTGAAATGTTATTACTGGTAACGTTCAAAAGATTCCGACACCGTGCTGGAAATCACATAGACATCAAAGGTTTAGAAACCATGTTGTCTTTTTGTATTTCAGTTTCTTACTATCGTTGATTTCCCTACAAGATATTGCACATAGGTCACGGCCACTCCTAGTAGAGTTTTGTTCACGTGATCTCACAAATTGAGTCATTGTTCTTACAGTAGATATATGTATCTGAGTTAGGAATAAACTGAACGCTTCAGTTTGAATGGATGATTCATTCTGAAGATATAAGTGTTGCAAATAATTATTAGGTACTCGGCTACATTTGGGGTACTTTGTAGACTTATACTTTTCAGTAAATGATTATTTTCTAAAGAACGATAAAAGTAATAGCAGCGATTGTTTTTTCCATAGCTATTAGCCACCATGGGCTATTTTTTTATAGTACTGAAAGTGACTTATCACTAAAAAGTAATCTATCGTGATTTTTCATATTCATGTTCAATCGTATAAAAATTTTGGACTAAGGTGTTTTCTCAGTATGACCTTTCATTTGATTCACATAAATCAAACTTTTTGAGAAAAAGCTTTCTATTTCCATAAATCTTACTTTTCAATCAAAAAGAACCACGAGACTATGTTTAATATGTCCTAGTGTATTATTTGCTCTACGGAATCTTCTGTTACGAGAGATTGTGTAATATAAATTTTTGTACGTTAAGACTCGAATATCATCGTCACATGTTAAAGAGATAATATTAAGTTGGTTTATAGGAGTTACATTTAAGATACAAGATAGAATACAGAAAGGATAAAGACAAAATGAATTCGAGTAAATCAGTGAGATTTAAAATATTTTGCTTCGGAAATAGTGTGCCCGATAAAAATTGAATAATCATCAAAACTATGAGGTATATGTATGGGAGATAATATTATTGATGTATTGTAAGGAGATAATGTCCCAAAACAATTTTCGACTATTTACCTCTGACATTGGACGGAATCATTGATGGTTGAGTAAGTATTAATAAAAAAGAATCTTTTATTCTACTTACAACTTTGAATTAAATTTGAGCTCATTGAAAAGTTCTCTAACGAAACTGAATGAATTATTTTGGTAAGTTCAAACCTAGAGAAATCTTCGCTCTATTCAGTTTGAAAGAAAACTGATTCTACTTTCTGTTTTTTTTATCCTAAAACTCACTTTTTGCCATGCACCATCCTATGTTCCGTCTACTTCTGTCTAATCTTATGACAAAATAGCACACTTGATCAACTTGCTGTGCTTATTCCAAAACAGGCTCGATCTAATCTCTATAAAAATTTAGATAATGCCGGTCTTCTATGACATCGTTTTCAATAGAATAAGCGGTTATTTTTAGTACTAAGATTCAGTCGAAAATCAATAGTTAAATTCTTTGTCAGAGGTCTAATTTCACTCGAAAAGACTGAATACGTTTCAAAAGCAATTTATTCACCACTCTTCGTGAATTACGAGATGCGAAAAAAATGGTCGAGGATTGTTTTAGAACATCATTTCGTCACAATACATCAATGATATTATCTCTCATGTATACAACTCGTATTTTTGATGATCACTCAATTTTTATTGGGCAAACTCATATTTTGTTTTCGTTCAAGATACTTTCCTTACGTTCTCCCGATGAACTTGACGATAAAAATGATAGTTATACAACGAAAAAGCAAAAACAATCTTATTAATTCTGTCTATAGATGTGATCAATCTATTTAAAAAAAATCAAAGGTGATATGATCTAAAATATTAATCAAAAGATACATGTTCTGAAATAAGAGACTTTTTAGATCATTTTCTCGATTATGTTGATCTAATGAATTTCAATTCAAAATATCAATTCAAATTCAAATTTCCAGCCATTTCGTTTTATAAAACATTGATTCATATGAAATACAGACGAAAAACATAGCATTAAGATACGACAAAAATATGAGACAAAAAATGATAGAAATCTTTCTCGAAACAAAAAAATTGAACCAAAAATTTTGTTTCAAACGAATGTAAATGTATCAAAATTAGGTTATCATCATTTTGTACTCATAAGCATATAGTCCGTTCTGTATTGTTGGATTATTTCTATGTTAGTGAAATATAAAATCAACAATATGAGAACTACAAACTTCATCAACAGCGAAGAAAGTTAAATATTTTTGATATTTTTATATGATGAAAAAAATGTGACTTTACTTATTTTATGAGAGAACAAGCAAAGTGTATCTATGATGACATATTCCATGTAGAAACAATTTTATAGCTCTGTGACTATGCACTAATGAAATATAATTACCAAACATTTTCTTTGATTTTTCAGAAGAAAAAATAATAATAAAATCATATTTTTAGTATATAAAAATTAAGAAAATATTCAACTTCTTTCTATAACAATTAAAATGTCTTCATCTATTTCTCACAGAGTAAGAGTACAGTAAAACATGAATCGAAGATTTAAATCAAGTTTAGAAAAATACATAATCAATTATATAGTAAAGTCGGGAAATGTGAAAACAAATAAACATACAACTTTGACTATTGTACAAAAAATTGAATTGATGTGTTAAATTCATCAATATGTAAAATCATCTAGTAGTTTATAACAAAAAATCAATAAAAACTACATATTTATTTATTTTAATTATTATTCACGTTACTACGTAGTTTTTTTATTTCATTACGTTCCACTGTCAATCTGAAAAATTATATTTTACTTGTAAAAGAAGTTTACGATGACCCATTAGAAAAAAAATAGAAGACAAAAGTAGATGAATCATTAAAACAACTTTGTCTTCTATTTTTTTTTAATTTTATTACATGACTTTCTTTTTTTTCTTAAATTTCCATCAAATTTTGATATACTTTAATGTACTCATGTTTTTCTAAATACTGTTCGGAAAAAATGAACATATGCTCCACATTAAATATGCATAGCTTCGTCTATGAGTAAATCGATAAAGTAAAAATTCATCTGAGTTCTTGTTAAAGTACACAAATGAAGTTAACTATTTTAAAATTTCATCTTATCAATAATCAACGTTTGTCTATACGGAAACTATGTTTTATAGAAAAATAATGTCAAGTGTTTGAAATACATCTAATT